AACACCAGCTCTTAGCGGTATTTTTTAGCATGGGTTGTTCTTGCATCCCTGTTCATATATACAAAACCATGTGTTTTTTCTTTAATGAATGATTAGAGAATGGAACATAGAGCAAAGGGCATATGAGGGCATAGACTTTGATATGAAAGTCTCTAGGTACAATCACTGTCATCATCAAGTAAAAATAGGATGTTCCCTGTTTGGAAGTAGCTGTCAGTCAGATTATATAGATTAGATGGTCTAACTCAATAGAAGGCTACCTTTTATGTTGCTAAAAAGGGACTCAGAAAAAAAAGAATATTGTCAACATTTCAACATAAGGTTGAGTTTATTTAACAACAAGAATAAGGTGGACATTTGAAATGTTTTCCCACCTGACCTTAGTAGAGAAGATATGGGTGGGACTAAGGTACCCCTAGATACAGAGCTTGTTGGGAGTGGACTAGATAACCTTTATGATTCCTTCTGTCCCTATGATTCTAGTTGGACAATCACACTCAACAAGTCAATATCAATGACTAACCATGAGTTAGAGGGAAGTCTTGGATGGATTTCTGTAGAACTATATGGATACATGTCTTGGGTGAAGGCTTGGTATATATGATTATCAAATCTGGACAACTCTTCAAAGATTTGTTCTACATAGAATGCTTTAGGCCAGGGGTCTTCAAACTTGGCCTTTTTATGACTTGTGGACTTCAACTCCCAGAATTCCTTAGACAGGCACGCTGGCTGAGGAATTCTGGGAGTTGAAGTCCACAAGTCACAAAAGGGCCAAGTTTGAAGACTCCTGTTTTAGGCTCTGCTTTGGATGATTTAATTAAAAAGTTATGCTTGGATAAGCTTCTATGAATGCCCAACAAGTGTTAAAGCGTTAAGAGTATTAACAAGTATTCGAGACTCTGAAACAAATGTGTTGGTTATTTATTTCCACATACTGATGATTCAAATAGGTGCAATGCTGTTACAGGAATATGACACTTTTTCATATTTTTAAGGGTGAGAATGAGACTAGTTTTCCATCAAAAAATGGCTTTTCTTCCCATAAGCCACACTAAACCACCACACACCCTAAACTGCCTCACAAAGGAGTGAAAGAAATCTTGTCTCACTTGGTCTGCTGATGCTATATTACTGGATTGCCTTCTGTGATTTTTGGAAAAATCAGGCAGTTGAGTTGCGGGTCTCAACCCCTTAAATATTGGCCACTTAAGTTAAATCTCTTCAATGCTGAATTCGGTGAACGTATCTGAAGGGCTTCATCACAGGGAAGACCTGACACTATGCAGTCCCAGGATCAGAAGTTTTAATAGTCGGATCTCACTATTTCAGAGGAAAAACTAGGAAATGTCCCAGTCATAAACAAGAATCTAAACTTCCCTACAGTCAGCATAGTCCCAGTTCAGACTCACGGTACCTTTGCAACAAAGCTGCAGTCATTTCAGCCTTGTTGGAGATGGTTTTGACTTCTAGGTTCACTTATATAAACTTTGCAAAAGTCTTGTGGACATTTTAAGTCTATTCAATGGATGACCATGTAAACTACTGTGGACCACAGCATCCTATTAATTGAGCCTGTTTCCAAGGAAGGTCTATTGCATGAACACTCAGTTGGAGAAGTGAGAGATAGCACTTATCCTTCTTTTTGCTGACAAGAAGCTGCGATGGATATGTTGTATAGATATGTCGAGGGCTACCTGTAATGATGTCAAAGAGATTACCAAGGGAGAGAACAAGAAGATCTCCTAGTCTCCTTGAAGATCTGTTGCTTCTCTGGAAATTTTTCAAGGCTTTGAACAGAAACCCAGTTGCTGTAAAAATCTCTTGTCCTTCTATGTATCCCCAGAACTTGGCTTAGGATGGAGATTGCCAAGTTCCGTCCGCATTTTGTTTCCTGTACAGATGGTCCTTGACTTATAACCATTCATTTTGTGACTGTTCAAAGTTACAACAGCATTGAAAAAAGTGACCTTTTTTTAACAGCAAGGACAATTAAACAGTGGAACAGCTTGCCTTCAGATGTTGTAGATGCTTCATCGCTCAAGGTTTTTAAGAAGAGACTGGACAGCCACCTGTCTGAAATGATATAGGGACTCCTGCTTGAGCAGGGGCTGGACTAGAAGACCTCCTAGGTCCCTTCCAGCTCAATTCTGATTTATTGATTGACTTATGACCATTCTTCACACGACCACTGCAGCATCCCCATAGTCATGTGATCAAGGTTCAGATGCTTGGCAACTGGCATGAATTTATGACGGTTGCAGTGTGTTCCAGGGTCTTGTGGTCACGTTTGGTGATGTTCTGACAAGTAAAATCAATGGGCAAGCCAGATTCACTTACCAACCATGTTACTAACTTAACAACTGCTGTGATTCACTTAACAACTGTGGCAAGAAAGGTCTTAATATGGGACAAAACTCACTTAACAACTATCCTGCTTAACCACAGAAATTTTGGGCTCAATTGTGGTAGTAGATCGAGGACTGCATCGACCATCATCCACCCTCAGCATTTGTTCATAGCTAATGCCCCATCTACTAGCTATAGGCTGACTTAATTTGGGTACTTGCAGGTGACTTAGTGTAGTAGCCTGACAACTGTCACACATCACTGAAAAGGAGCAAACTCTATCCCAGGGGTCTTCAAACTTGGCCCTTTTATGACTTGTGGACTTTAACTCCCAAAATTCCTCAGCCAGCATGCCTGGCTGAGGAATTCTGGGAGTTGAAGTCCACAAGTCATAAAAGGGCCAAGTTTGAAGACCCCTGCTCTATCCACTCAAACAACCATCGTGAGTTGTGTAGGGAAATCTGATTAGCCTTGACAAATAATTAAAACTGTACATCTAACTTCATGTCTGAATAGAATAATTGACCCTGCTTGCCCTATTACCTCTAGGACACAATTTAAGGACCTGGTATTGACCTTTCAAGACCTAATGGTTTAGAGCCCGATTATCTGAGGGGCTACCTTTTTCATTACAAATCTGTTTGGTAACCGAGATCAGCAAAGGAGACCATTTCTAAAGATGTTCCTGTAACCAGAAGCTCACTTATAGACCACACAGGAAACAAGTTTGCTTCTGTGTGGCTCCCACTCTCCCAAGCTTTCAACCAACACTTGCTTTTAATTTCAATTGTATTGATCGTATTGTGCTTTATATACTGTACCTTGGCTTAACTGTGGTAAGTTTCTTGAGTGGTTACGTAACCATAAAATTGCAGTATGTTTAATATTGCTTAAAAATGGAGCTAGTAGCCAAGAAAAACAACCCAGTTTGTTCTTTTCAAACTCCTACAGAAGAACAATAAAGAATAGGTGGGACAAACATTCTTTGCTTCCTGGATTTTGACATATCTTTTTTTTTAAAAAAAAACCAGACTGGTTAAAAAACTTCATCTCTTGCTAACAACAATGGTATAAGCTGGATTCCTAGGAGATTTGCTGTGTCAGGTAGCTTATTTTTGTGAAATGAGCCATGGAGATTTGAATTTAGTACAGAAGCCTCTCATGCTGTGACTTTCCCTTACTTTTCAGGCAAGACATCTTTTTGCAAACATCTGCACTACTCTTAATAATGTAAATGTTCCAGCACTCTTGGCACCTTCAAGATGGGTTGGGACCGCAATTTACAGGTGTTGAGAGTTCTCATTAGATCAGGATTAGGTTGACTCCAGGACCAGGCACAATTCTATCTCAACAATTGGTTGTCGAGCCAATCTTTGGTTTCCATGAGCACCTGGGACATAGTGCCATTCCTTTATCTGTGGCAATTCCAATACTGTGATTCTGCCTGCCAGACAAGCATAGTATAACTTTAGACGCTGTTTTTTTGTTGGTGTATCACAGCCACCCTCATGCATCCTCCAAGTATGAAACCCCCAGAAGATCTTTTTGTGGTTTGCAAATATATCATCAAATAATTAAGCAAACACAATTTGCTTGTAGTTATAATGCAACAAGGCACCTGGAAGGCTGATTTCACCTTGGGTTATCAAACTTCTTCCCCAGATTACTTGAATCAATTCACATTAAACTCTACTGCTTATGGAGCTCCCCAATGAATTTCTTTGCTACAAGGACACAAGCCAGATTGTGCACATGGTAGCCCACCTGGAAATCAATATAGGGGTGCAAGTTAGTTTTCTATTTACTTAGTGGCGAGCATGCCCTGCCCCAAATGAAACTGAATTTTAAAAAGTGGTCAAAAGATTGCAGCCATGTTAAGTATGGCGACTTGTGCATTTGTTCTTCTCCCTAGTAATCTATCAATTAAAACTATTAATTAAAATGCCTCGCTGAAGGATTAAGCACTCTACAGTAACAAATTGCCTTTTTAAAATTATTGGGGGAGGGGAAAGGAATAACAAGGCTGATTTTTTTTTTTCAGCTGTAAGAATCTAAAAATTCTTTGTGGGAATCCAATAACCAGTGCATACATATTCTATTTTGCAAATAAAAATCCTAATAAGATTAAGCAGCGATAAGTGCTGTGAAATCACGTTATCACCATACATCTTTAACCCTCTGCCTCATTATTAGGCCATCATTACCCCTAGACTTGTCATTAAAACGGACCTCCTCCTCCACCCCCAGTTACGGTTTACAATGTGAGACAAATGTCAAAATGTGGGTTAACTTCTTGGCTGCCTTTCCCAGTGAAAAATGCCTTGCAAAGCTCAGCACAACTCACTTTACAGTTTTCAGATTAGGAAGGAAGGAAGGAAGGAGCATTAGGAAACAACTCAGCAGGCAAAGGTCAAGGGTTCACTGGAAGTGCAAAGAAAGAGCACACACCCATACGCACACGGACACACAGCAGGAGATCCCGCAGATCCACACATCTGCGAAGAAAAGGGGCGCACTAAGTGGGCAAGCTCCACCTCGCAAACCCAGCATTGGCTTCGCCTGCTGTTCAGACAACACCCCCAGGCTGCGTCCTTACCTGATTTGACTAGCACTGCTCGGTACAACCCAGTCGCCCCAGGTGGGATTCTCACCTGGTCGCCCCTCCTCTGGCTCATCGCGCCGGCAGGTGGATCTGGGCGGCTGCCTAACTGTACTCCGGCCGCGCCAAGCCCCCTCGCTCTGCCCTCTCCCCGATTTCGGCGGGTTTCTAAGCGGGCATGACTTTGGGGGGCAGCCGGCGGACAAGCCCTCTCGCTCCCGCACGGCTCTTTTCAGTGGCGGCGAGTCACGTGAAGGCGCGAGCGATTGTACTGTATACAGCCGCCGCCTCCCCTCCCCTCCCTTCCTTTCCCCTCCCCTCCCCTCCCCGCCAGCCCGGCTCCGCTCCCACAAAACCGTTTTTCGCCTCGGATCCTGTAACGTGGCACGAGTTGCTGTGCAAAAAACAAAACAAAAGCCGCAAGCTCACACTTTGGGGAAGGGGGCCTTTGAGGCGCTTTTGTGTCGGTTTTGCTCGCTCCTGCTGGGAACTTGCTGACAAAAAAGGCGTTTACGTGCAACTTCGGCGTTAAGAAACGAAGCTTTGTGTGTTTCTTTCCGGGAGATCTCCATCACCCCCCCCACACACACACACACCCCATTTCCCCTCCAATGTTAGCAATTAGGCAGCACACGGACGAGAAAGAGACTTATAGAAAGCAGCCTCCGACGAGCAGCGGAGTTGGCGAAATGGGAACATTTGCTGCGCAACTCCTACGCTTGCGAGCAGCAGGCGCCGAATCAAAACCGGCGTCGTCGCCATCCTCAGCACTCAGGTTGCAGCGCCGTTTAGAATTGCTTGCAAACACAGGCTTGGGAAAAACCCAAGACCTTATGCACCTCGGAAAGGACTCTTCCTCTGAGTCCCGTTCCTCTGTGATCTTCTTACTCGTTATCCCAAAAGTGCTTTTTCAGGAGGCAACTGGACCTTCTTGTTTTTCTTTGAAGGCGTTTCGCTTCTCATCCAAGAAGCTTCTTCGGCTCTGACTGGACGGTGGGGAATGGAAGGATTTGTATTCCTTGCTGGCAGCTGGCCGTTTGTATTCTTTAGAGCAGGGCTTTTCAACCTTTTCACCCATTGTGCCACTTTTAGGATACGGCAATATCCGAGTACCACCAGTCGCCTAGCAAGGTGTCCAAAACTTGATGACCCCCCCCCAAAAAGGAAAAAAGTGATGAAGTACAGGTAGTCCTCGACTTACAACAGTTTGCTTAGTGACTGTTCAAAGTTACAATGGCACTGAAAAAAGTGCCCCCCAAGGCACAGCCGAGCAAGACACCTGCCTGCCCACCCGGCGGCGCTCTTCCTCCTGTCTTGAGGTTTTCATTGTTTGAACATTTCTGTTGGGGATTGGCAGCAGAGGTGGGGTGGGGTGTATGTGGTTTTTATTCCCCCTGTCTGTTGGCTGGTTGTAGCAGATTTTGGTCACTTCACATGACCCTGGGACACTGTGACCGTCATAAATATGAATCAGTTGCCACGCATCTGAATGTAAATCACAAGACCCTGGAGATAAGGCAACATTCCAGCTGATTGGTGCTTCTTCAGGGCTCAGCAGAAGCACCAGGATCAGTGCCGAGCTCCAGCTGGAGCCTGGCACTGATCCTGGCGCTTCCGCTGAGCCCTGACAGCCTTGCAGCTCCAGCCATCTCTCGCTCAGGCTTGTGCAGTGCTGCCACCAGTTCAGCTCATTCCCCTCCCCTGCTACCACTTTTCTAGGATGGTCGCGTACCACCTGCCAGGTGCCAATGTACCACAGGTGGTACCCGTACCACTGGTTGAAAAGCCCTGCTTTAGAGAGTGGTTGAGGCCATTTGGAGGATGACCTCCAAGGGTCATCTGAGTAGTGGAAATGTGTGTGGACTACTCAGGTGACCTTGAGGACACAGAAAACCTCCAAATGGCCTCAAGGATTCTCTAAAAGAATGCAAATGACCAGCAGTCTGCAAGGAACATAAATCCTTCCATTCCCCACCATCCGATCAGAGCTGAAGAACTTCTTGGATGAGGAGCAAAACATCTTCAAAGAAAAACAAAGAGGTCCAGTTGCCTCTTGAAAAAAGCTGCTTCGGGACAACCATTACCTGGATGACTGAGAATCTCCATAGACATTTTTACTCATTACTTATTGAATAAACTGCAGTTGGCTGGGTTGGCATACTGCAGGCAGGATTCAGTCAAAATGCTGAGCCAAATATGTGGATGTAATTGCAGAGATTTTGTTCCTTGACTGCTGCTCCCACTCACTCCTGGAGTTGACAGAGCCCTGCTGCCCCAGGCTCACTGATAATGACTCATAGACTTAATGAAGGGTGTAAGTCTCCACCAACAATCACAAGCTATGAGTAAGAAACAATGAACCTTAGATTTAATGGAACTAAGTATAGCGAGTTTAAGAAGAGGATAAAATTCCGGTGCATTTGTATCTTTTGTGTAATGATGCTATTTGGCCTGGAGCATCGGGGGAAGTACCTGAGGATTGGAAAAGAGCTGATGTGGTTCCCATCTTCAAAAAAGGGGGGAAAAAAACCAGGAAGACCCAGGAAACTACAGACCAATCAGCCTAACATCAATACCTGGGAAGATACTGGAAAAGATCATCAAAAGACAGACCTGTGAACATCTAGAAACAAATAATGTTATAATTAGAAGCCAGCACAGGTTTGTTAAAAACAGATCATACCAAACCAATCTTATTTCATTTTTTGACAGACTAAATTAGTAGACCAGCGAAATGCTCTGCACATAGTATACTTGGACTTCAGTAAGGCATTCGCCAAAGTAAAGACCACAACCTACTTCTTGGTAAGCTAGAAAAACATGGGAGAGATGGCATCACCACCAGATGGATTTGTAATTGACTGACAAGCCATACTCAACAATAGTCCTTAATGCTACTACATCTATATCAGACATGTCAAACTCGCGACATCACGTGATGTCGCGCAACATATTGGGCTGGCTTTGCCATTGCTGCAATGAGGTGGGCACGGCTTCCGGATGACACATCTGGCCCATGGGCCGGCAGTTTGACACCCCTGATCTACTGTATATGGAGGGAAGTAAGCAGTGGGGTATCACAAAGTTCCGTCTTAGACCCAGTACTCTTCAATATGACTTAGATGAGGGAATAGAAGGGGAATTTATCAGATTTGCAGGTGATACCAAGCAGGCAGGAATAGCCAACATCCTAGATCAGGAGTCTTCAAACTTGGCCCTTTTATGACTTGTGGACTTCAACTCCCAGAATTCCTCAGCCAGGCATGCTGGCTGAGGAATTCTGGGAGTTGAAGTCCACAAGTCATAAAAGGGCCAAGTTTGAAGACCCCTGCTCTAGATGATAGGCTCAAGATCCAGATGGATCTCGACAGACTTGAACATTGGGCCCTATCTAACAAAATGAAATTCAACGTAGCGAAAAGTAAAATCTTACACTTAGGAAAGAATAACCAAAAGCATACGTACAGATTAGGTGAAACCCGGCTTAATAGCAATAACTGTGAGAGGGATCTTGGGAATCCTGGTGGACAATCAGTTAAAAATAAGCCAACAGAGTGCAACAGCAGCCAAAAAAGCCAATGCAATCCTAAGTTGCATTAACAGAGGGATCAAGATCACGTAAGGTATTAATATCACTCTATAAAGCCTTAGTAAGACCACACCTAGAATACTGCATCCAATTTAGGTTACCACACTATATAAAAAAATGTTGAGTCTCTAGAAAGAGTGCAGAGAAGAGCAAAATAGATGCCTGGAGGCTAAAACATATGAAGAACGGTTGCAAGAACTGGGCATATCTAGTGAAGAGAAGGACCAGGATGACATGATAACAATGTTCCAATATTTGAGGGGCTATCCCAGAGAGGAGGGGGACAACCTATTTTCCAAAGCACCCGAAGGCCAGACAAGGAACAATGGATGGAAATTAATCAAGGAGAGATTCAACCTAGAAATAAGGAGAAATTTTCTGACAGTGAGAACAATCAACCAATGGAACAGCTTGCCTTCAGAAGTTGTGGGTGCTTCATCACTGGAGGTTTTTAAGAAGAGACTGGACAGCCACTTGACAGAAATGGTATAGGGCACAGGTTGGCAACCCTTGGCTCTGGAGTCGCATGTGGCTCTTTGAGCCTTCTCCTGCGGCTCCCAGCCTCCTCCGCCATTTGCAGAGAGAGAGAGACAGAGAGAGGCACTTGTGCTTCCCTTCTCTCTCTCTCTCTCTCTCTCTCTCTCTCTCTCTCTCTCTCTCTCTCTCTCTCTCTCTCTCTCTCTCTCTCTCTCTCTCTCTCTCTGAGTGGGGGAAGAGGACTGGCAGACCAAGGGCAGGAGAGAGCCAGCCCAATAAGAATGTGTGTCAGCTTGTCGGAGAACAGCGTGAAGCCAGTTTGCCAGGAGAGCAGAAGATCCGAGAGAAAGAGAGAGAGAGAAGAGGGAGAGAGAGAGAGAGAGGGAGGGAAGGAGACAAAGAGAGGGAGAGGGAGAGGGAGAGGGAGAGGGAGAGGGAGAGAGAGAGAGAGAGAGAGAGAACTCATGCAGAGCAGCCTCTATTTCTTTTTAATTAAACTCTTCAATCAAGCTCCCCCCCCTCGCATGCACGCATGCATGCGCAGGTTTTGCAGCTGCCAGTTTTTTCTTTTCTCTGGGAAACTGGTCCAAGTGGCTCTTTGAGTGCTTAAGGTTGCCGACCCCTGGTATAGGGTCTCCTGCTGGAGCAGGGGGTTGGACTAGATGACCTACAAGGCCCCTTCCAACTCTGTTATTCTGTATTCTGTCTTCTATTCTGTATCCTGGGCTAATTTGAGTGTGCAATTGTATCATTTGCACAAATTATATCATCATGAACAATGTACATTCTGATCTATCAGACAATCAGGAATAATGGATTCTTATTTTCCCAGTTAGCCCATTGAATGGACAAGATGGGGCAATCCATAAATAAACAAACCAATCAATATTTCATTGTAGGGGAAGAAACACTTCTTTGGAAACTGTGATTTCCAAGGGTTATTAATATCAATGTCAGCCCTTTTAATGGGGACTGGAAATGTACTGGAAGTCAATGCAATTTAGTCCTTGACTTACAACCACAACTGGGAGCAAAATTTTTTGTTGTTAAGCAAGGTGGTTGTTAAGTGAGTTGCATCATACTTTGAATCAAAGTATGTAGGATCAAAAGAAGAGCTGATCTTATCATATGCCACTAATGCTTAGCAAAATATATAACTTTAAGAGACAATCAAAAAGCAAAAAGGGAAACAAAAAGACCAA